AGTACGGTGAAGCTTCGGTAGTGCCAAAGGCACCACGCTCAGCTCCACGCTTGGTCGGAGGAGTACGAACGAGTCGTTGGGGCGTCGGCGGCAGTGGAATCTTGGACGGATCTTCATCTTGAATCATCGGTCGGCTCACAGGCTGCTTTCCGGCATTGATGCCAACAGCGCCAAACGCCTTCCGAAGCTTCTTCTTCCATTTCTGGAGAGCAGCTCCGGCTTTATGTGGACTCCAATCTTGGAGCGACATCGTCGATGGGTACGTCTCGTTCTCGAACCCCAGCGACAACAGTAGCGAAACTGAATCCTCGGCGACTTGGCTAGTCGAAACCGAGCTGACTGGGTATTGAAGTTCCTGCGCAAGCGCAGGCCAGTCGGCCTTTTTCTTGGGGATGGGCTTGAACAGCTGCATCCACTCATCATTCTGCATCAGCGCTTGTACGCGGTCGAAAACGCGCTTGGCGGCTGGTGTATCACCGTTGATAGGTGGGCGAGGTGCCTTTAGCAGTGCTGAATGCTTTGCACTCGCCACCGAAGGTTTAAAACCCTCGGTCCCATCGTTATAATCATCATAGGCCGGTTCCAGTCCCGCAACATCATCGAGCTCGTCGGCGAGGTTCCTCGAAAGGGACTTGGTCGCCCCGCTCAGCCCCGATAATAGCGTGGCCGTCTCCGGCGTCGCTGCGCCTGACTATGGAGCCGGCGTCTTGTCTTCGTAATCTTCATAATCGTGGGCGTCAGGACCGATGTCCGCTTCGTCGTCGAAGCTCACTGAAAGCTCGGTGGTGGCTGCAAAGCGCGCAGCCGGGCTTGAACTCTCGTTGCGAGCCCCGCCAGACTTGGCAGGCGTAACTGGTACCGTCGGTTGTCCTTTCGCCATGTTTCTTGTCTTTTTCTTTTTCTTCTTCTCTTGGAGCTCGTAAACCGAAAGGCCATACAAACAGTTCACAATGGTCACAATCTGTTCCCGGGTCGCGGCACCGTGGTGTTGGAAATCCCACGTGAACTCTAGCTACAAATGTAGTTAGGATGTTCCCACAACAATACGTCTACTAGGATAGTAAACGATCGATCGGGCGGACCTGAAGACCCCAGTTCTGCCCTTGCACCGGGACAAACTGGACCTTGTAAACTACTTATATAGGCCAGCCAGTAAAAATAAGAACACGCTACTAGCACGAGCAAAGCTAGCAGGTGTTTTGAATCCCTCCGTGGTCCCCAACAGCAGAAAGGGTACCAGGCACGGGTAAGCCCTTTTACGAGATCACCGAGTGTTCAACACTCGGTAGGAAGAATAAAAGGGAGGCAATTCAAGCACTCCCAGTCGTGCAAATAGGCAACAATAAGCCGTCACGTAAAACCTCCCGATAATAATCGGCCAATACACAAAGTCTCTTGGCCTTGCCGGATGAACCCTCGCTACAGAGCTTCGAGTTCACCGACAGGCATAACACACTCAAACAAGCTTGACCTGACGCTTACCTTGAAGCCGGACGTCGCTCTGTGTGCTTGAGTGGAAATTCTGTTCTGTATTTAAGCTTACCCTTTCGGGTCTATTCATAATAATAAGTCCTAATCAAGTATACAAATATCAAGTAAACAATGATCCGTTATGGATCTTCTTGCATGCCAAGCGTCGTCTGCACCGTCGCATGAGCATCTTTAACGGTCCGCGCCCTGTCCCAGACGGTGTACGTGCCTTCCAAGGGTCGCTGAGGCTTCCGCGAACTCATCCCAACCGCCACTGAGGGTTCGTACCGTAGATGGTCCGCTGAATGCGAATCCGGCTAGTCCATTATTAAAAATAAGGACAGCCTGGATTCAGTGACATATGCCCGTATCCAATGCTCGTTGAATGTTCGGAGGTGACGCCGTCGAGTCCCTTGCACCTTGGAGTCTCCGTACATCACCTGACCGGGGGTTCGTCGCTTGAACAACTTGGGCGGTGTCACGTCTTTGTCGCAACTACGGAGAAATCACTACACCACACATGCGGCCGAGCCTGGTAGAAGATTTAGTAGGTGAAAGACATTGAAGGTAGAATTCCAGGTAGGTATAGGCTTAATTATCAATACAGACCTCAATTTGCACAGTATAACGCAAGTGCCTTCCTGCCCTTAAGAATCGGAACTACATTGGCCGTACGAGCTCGGTGAGGGTTGGGAATTGCGAAACTAGGGTTGGTAGTGATAGCTGGATAATACATTGGCCAGATCCTACAACCTAGTGAGCTTTCCTTTACACGTGCAGATCCGAAATGCTAACCGGGCTTACTACTTGGCCGGCTACACCCTAGAGGCTCTCAACTCTCAAGATCCCGTCACAGGAGGCGGCAAGTACGACGAAAAGCACACCCGCAAGGCAACCCTACGACCAGATCCCTGATCTAGGCCCTGGATCCACCAAGCCCGAAGAATCGCTTAGGATCCAGAAGCAACTACGGACGCAGAGTGAAGATGCTCCACCCCATCCCCACGTCTCGCCAAGACACTCAAGCTTCACCACTTGATCTCATCGGAAGTTACCGAGAGAGCAAGATCCCGCCCCACCGACGGGTGCACAAGGTGAGGAAATTTCAGCAGATCACGGATCATCGGGGGGCCCCCTCCGCTAGTCGGTGTCTGGGCGCTGTTGGTAAGCTGGATCCCGCAATCTCGCAGATTTTGCTGATCCCGCTACACCCCTGTAGAATGTAGATCTCGGAGATCTCAAGATGGGCCACGAAGGAGTATAGTCTACCACGACAAGTCTACAATATATCGCCTACCCATCGGCTGCTGCGTCAGCCAGATGATATAATGAAGAAATGCATACAGCCATGTTGTGATGTGAGACAGCGTAGTCTAAGGTGAGTCCAATGGCGATCAAGTACTGTTGGCAGTATGATAAACAAAGCCAGTGTTTGCTAAATTCTTAACAAAAATCAGTAAGAAGACAAAGTATTCGACATCGTGATCTCTTTAGACTGTACACTCAACCAATAAATATCAAGCGTTGCTTCAGAGGGTAGATTTGTGTCTATTAACACAGCTGTATAAATAGGCGTGTGCCTGGTTTTGAAATCGCGATTAGGAATTTGAGACCGGCCCTTCTAATTTAAATTGTTAATTCCTATTTAGTAAGCTGAATTTTCAAGCTTTTAATCATGTTGGATATACTAGCCGTGTGCCGCCGCTACGCGGCGGGAAAGAATGAATGTCGTTCCTTGTATTTTGCCTCCGTTCCGCTCGCCACGGGCTCGCTTCACTACTCGCACGGTAGGTTGGCAGATGTGGCTCAGGCGGCCGCAGGGTTGCAGAAGGTGCCGATTTGGGCCGCTCGGCAGCTTTTAGGCCAATCGGGGCCACCTTCGCTGCGCTCGGCAGCCAGTAGGAATATTTAAATTATTTTATCCAATCGGAAAAGCGTGACAGGCACGACAATTTAGTGTGACGGACAGACAGGTTGCTGCAGTAGATGTTTAAGACAAGTACAATTTGTCTTCCACAATTCTTCAGTATAACAAAACTCACAGTACAAGTAGCAAGCACACATAAACTGCGTTGTTTCGACGGAGTAGAAAATATCGGCTACATGAAGTAGCAAGCAGGCAGCTATGTACAGCTACTACAATGTCGCTTTCAAACGAATGTAGTGGATACCAGGAATTTCACCTTGGTTTCCCAGAATAGTTCTACGGAGGCTTCAGGTAATGGGTCTGCTGTCCCGGTTTTTGAGCCCGAGATTTATATAAGGAACCAGGCCAACTACATGTCATCTTTCTAATAGTTTTCCCAGCGAACTTTCTGAGGGGCGCCTTAGAAAGTAGCTGATAGAGAGCTCGAACTGGTTACTAATGGACTCGAGACTCACTCTACATTTTACCTTCTACAGTATAACAAACTTGGTTATAAGTTCCAGCGGGGGTGCTCCCGCTTTGTCGAGTGTCGATTGGATATTTTACCCGGGAAATACTACAACGAGACATCATGGGACTTTCAGTCCTGAAATTCAGTATAGCCGGATCGCGCGGTAGACAAACTATCCTTAATCTCCTACAACGTATTGATAGCATCGACCGGTCGCATCGTCTCGCGTGCATGGTTCAGTCTGAAGTTTTGGCGGAGCGTTGTTGTACTCACTCTGCTTCAGCCTCAATTTCATTTTCGGTGTTGTGATCACGCACGGGAATCGTCGATATAGAATGATTTGAACGATGCGGTGCCTGGATAAAGTGGGCTCTAAGTTTTCTCGAGGAAAGCTCTAGGACGCCTGCATCAGCAGCAGCGGCAACTGCATTCTCTGAAGAAGACCTTGCGTGTTGCGCGTCCGGATCAGGTGCTCAGGTTAAACGATTGCAGTGGCGCGTCTCTGTAAGGTACTTGTGACACTTGGCTACACAAATCGACAACACCTTCCAATCAGACCGATGCATGTTGCAACGGGACGTCCGCAATTTATATACATATACAGTACTGTACTTCAAGTATTCGATCATACAGTCGAGCAAGGCGTTCATGTAGTTGCTGCATGAGGAGGTGTCTTAATTTCATGATCGCCACCATTGCACTCGAACCCAAAAGATACTATTCATCCTTGTCAGCTCCTAGGTGATGGCTGCGGATCTGATCACCTCAGCTCGTTTACAGCGCCTATCCCAGTTGGACTCCAACTAGGCGTACCTACATCATGTAGGCTACATGTAATACATGTACAGTACATGTAAACTTTGTCATTCTGTACATGTAACATAAAGCTCGAATGACTCGAGTCAAATCAGCGCAACCAGCATGACGAGCCAGCATTGCACAGCAGACAAGCCGGCGGGGCGTCGACGCCACGGACCTCCACGTATCTGAGCCTTGTACTTGAGCCAATCTCTCTTGCACCACCACGGGAAGTTCACGCCTGTATTGCTGCATGAGGATCGTCGAGCTCTCCGATCCCGCCCATCTGGGTGTCGATACGGCAAAGCCTGCTCGTCCGCAGCTCGCTCCACTGATCTTCCACAACCGAATTTGCCCGGCACTCCACACGTCCCGGACCAACCGAAGACATGAGCTGCATCTCGAACGCAAGCGTTGTCGGTGATAAGCGCCGCTTCCCGCTCCGTGCGATTGAACGCTTCGGCATCGCCGAGCCCGATGTGTCGGTCAAGTGTTGCCATGCCATAGCCATCAGTGGCGATATGGACCAAATGCTTAGATTTCTACCCACCGCCGTCATGCGTACCTTCAATCGCCACCCACGTCTCCGTGCGTTGGTCGTCAAGGACGAGGAGTTCACGGCCGAAGTACAGCCGCCTATCACGGTGGACGACGTCGCGGCCAAGGAACTGCTGCGTGTACGTGAGATTTCAGACTCGAACGAGGACGTTGCTGCGTGGAAGAACTGGAGCCAGTTCGTCCAGACGGAGACCCACATCCCCTTCGACCGATTTACCCAGTTCATGTTTTACCTCACGGTATGGGTCAACAGATCGGAGAACAAGGCGCGCTTCTTCGTCTTCTCGGACCACATCATGTCGGACGGCGACTCCGGTCAGATCTTCGTCAATGACACGCTTGAGGACGTCGCGTTGCTGTCCATCGAAGCAGTTAAACCGGTGAACGAGTTCCCGTTGCGACCGTCGCTCTACGACATGTGGTTCACTGGGGGGCCATGGTGGCTGAAACCTCTAGCCAAGACCATGTTGGCGTTCGTTGGTGGCTCGGCTTTCCTTAATTTCATGAAAGTTTTCAAGCCCGTCCTGACCCCGCGTGGGGACCAAAAGGACTTTGGTATCCCCTTCGAACAGAACAGTACCACGCTGCTCAGCCAGGCTGGTAACCCGACCAACATGCGCGACACGCTTCGTAAATGCAAGGAAGAGGGCGTCACCCTTGGTGGGGCTCTGATCCCGATGCTGGTGCTGGCCTTTTACCACGCCAGCAAGGTCGACCACAAGCTCAACAGTGTAGATGAAAACGACGGCCCGTTTCGGTTTGTGGCCGATATCTGCTACAACATGCGCCAACGGGTACCGAAGCCCGCTGAGGAGCGACAGGTGGGTCTGTATGTGACCAATACTCCACTCCAGTGGCTCGCTACCGAGGGTGTTAACATGAAGACAGAAAAGTTCTGGGACTTGGCTCGCACTTCGAAGCAGCAGATGGCTGCGCAGGGCGATAAACTCCTGGAGATGGCCATGCCGTGCTTTCTAATGGACCGCAAGCTCATCAAACCGAAGCTCGGTGATCTGCTCGGTGATTTTAAGATCCCCAGCTCGTGCACGGGAGACGCGACCATCTCCAACCTCGGGCGCTACATCTACAAGAAGAAGCACATTCTGGCCTCTAACGGCGTACTTGAGGTGGAAGACATGTTCGCCTACTGCGCCATCCCCTTCGTGGCTACGTCGTCAACTATTTGGCTCTCGACCGTCAACTCGTTTAACTACTCGCTGGCTCACAAAGTGGACGAGAAGGTTGGCAGCGCGCTATTTAACGCCTACGTCAAAATCTGCGAGAACGCCAGCAACATCAACAAGGACGACACGATGGAGGACGTACTCAAGCGTCTTGAAATCCATGCCTAAGTTGAGTTTACTGTTGTTACTCTCATAAATGAATTATCCTTGCACAGCACTTCGTTGCGTTGACTGGAGACAGCATTACCGATATGATGACTGCAAATCTGCTCGGCAACTTAAAGCCGTCCGTAATGTCATTGATAAACATCCTTGAAGCAACCAACTGATCATCAGTCAAAATCTGACTCAGACGGGTTGGTGGCTGTCGACGCAACTTGCATGTGGCGTTGAAGTGAAGCCACATGGATCGATCTCCGATCTTTTGGCTTGTTGCGTCAGCAATGGCGAGAAGAGCTCACCACTTTCTTCTCCAGCACGTCAACGTACTGCTTGAGCTGACGCAGTTGCCGCTCCAGCGCCGTCTTCTCCGCGGTTTGTTGTCGGATACAGGCCAAGTATTTCTTTAAATGTGCTTGCTGCGTTCGGGCAGTTCGCTGGAGATTCTGCTCCATCGAGCGTTTCCGGTCGATGAGCTTCTCGAACCGCGATTCCAGCTTTGCAATTTTCTGCTGAAGTCGCTGTAGCTGAAGATCCTTGCCCTTTAGTTGGGCACGCAGCAAGGTCAGCGGTAGTTTGCGCAGTTGGTTGGCGTGTCGGTTCTGTATCTCGTGTACCTGCTCACCCTTGACAAAACCAGTGTCTTCCTCATCGCTGTCAATTAGAAGCACAAGTGGGTCCTTCTCCCCACCTTCGCAATGTTTGCCGGTACTTGCTACTGAGCGCCACACTCGTCCGTCGGCCGTAGCATCTCGTTGTTTTCGTTGGAGTGTTCTCAGCTCCGCTGCTTGCTGAACAATAATCATTTGCAAGCGATGTATCTGCATTTGGGCACTTTCACCTGCTCCCTCCGTCTCGGCATTGTTGCCCGCGATACTGCTGCTGCAATTCAACGCGCTTCCATCATCGTTGTGACTGCGTGGACGGCTGAAATCTCTTACTAACGACTCGTTCAGCTTCACCAGCTCTTGCATCCTCTGAAACATTGCAGCGCATTGGTCATGATCTTGTCGCGCTCTCCGGTCACTCAAGTTTTGTAGCTGCTCCAATTCTTGCTGAAAAGCTACACAAGACGCACACTGACGCGGAATAATTAGGTATTAATGACAAGGGCGTATGAGTAGCACAGAGAAGTGATGCGCTCACCTCGTGCTTCATCCGGAACGCGGCAAGTTGAAGCGACAAGAAACCGTTAGAATGTAGCCATTTGCAGACATCCCCTTTTATTGACCAATCGCGGTCGGCTACAATTTCTTATTCACCAGCCGCCCCTTTACACCGACGGCGAACTGGTCCACTTGGCACGCTCTTCGTCGCCCTCCTGGAGCCTGCAGCACCGTAATTTCCTCCATCGTCTTGCTCCCCACATCCGTCTCCAACTACACTGCCGCCGTTTGTACTTCTTCCCGTGCTTGGTAGCGCCCAGGAGATTGTGACCAAGTAACTGTACCCTTATTTTGGTACAGCTGTGCGCAACACCATGATGCGGCGTCGCGAGAGCAACTTGACGCTGGACGAGGAGGAAGACGTGGCTGTAGAGATCGAGCGTATTGAGCATCCCTGGATGGCGCTCGCGCTGTTCGATCAGCTATGGATAAACGCCACGCAGCAAGTGAGTTCCAGCTGCACCTTCACCAAGTACACGCGTAAAGCTGCTTCTAAAGGCGACAGAACGCCCCGGACACACGACACAGAGGCAGAAGTTGCCGATGGTACGAGCTTCCAACAGCAATTCCTGAGAGCGCTGGGGAACGATCTCGTCGTGTTCCCTCAGAAATCAGAGCACGACAACTTTGTGGTGCTCGCGTATGCCAGTGTGGCCGACCATTATGGACTCAAGACGGTGTTGCTAGTGAGGATGGAGCAGCTGCACGACTCGGAGCAGATCGCCATCACGGTTAAGAACACAGACCCCGTCCACCGCACCAGAATGACGACGTTTCTGAGTGTTCTACAGCAACGGATTCAGCCCGGAAAGGCCCCAAAGAGACCTCACCCGAGAAGTGGAGACACGAGCAAGTTGTTCCTTGAAGAGAGCGATCATGAAGGCACCACTGACTCCGATTCGTCCTCCATGGCCCCTTCACCGCCTGTTCGGACGCCTCCAGCTTCGTCCTCGGCTTCTGTCGAGACTCCTCCGAGACCTACAGCTTCTGTACCAGTAACAGTGTCAAGACCAATCGAACGCGGACGCTCTCATACGATTCGCTATCGTACAGATCGAGATATTTCCTTTGAAGGCTATCTGAGCAAGAAAAGCGACGTGCTGATGAGCTGGAAGGCGACGTATTGCGTGCTGGAGGAAGACACACTGGCGTTCTATGAGACGCGCGAAGATTTTATCTCCAACTCGAAGCTTATCGGTCGCATTCAACTCCAGTCGATTGAGGACGAAGACATGGGAAAGCCAAATGGGTTTCGCGTCATCGCAGAGGGGAATCACGTGAATCACTTGAGCTCAAGGACTACGTTCGAGAAGGAACAGTGGAAGCGCGCGATCAGTGTAAGATTTGGAGAACTGTGTTTATCTTTTGGGTACACTAAGGGACTAATATGTTGTGCTCGTGTGTGGGTGTACCAGATTGCTATTTCTAAAGCTCCAGAAGTGACTCGTCCGTACGTCGCGTTCGCGTCTCAGCCATTGGAGGCTCACAAATTTTATCGACTGCTTGGTGCTTTGCTACGGCAAGAAATAGGGGACTTTCCATTGCTGTTCCGCAGTATGCATCCAGACATCGTCGTGACGTCCAATTTCCCGCCGATCGTGCCGTTCTGGGGCCAATATCGTCGCTATGACGGCGTCTTGTTGTTCATTTCTACGTTACTGGATACCGTCACAGTGGATAATTTCTCGCTCACTGAGGTGATCGAGCTGGTACGCGGTGATGCTGACTGTGTGGACGAAACTGGCACTCACCACGACGCGCTCTCGCCGTCTCCACTGACAGCAGACGCATATGTTCTGTCTCCTAAATCGACCGAAGCTAAAGGAACTCCAGGAAGCGCATCGACCCCGTCAGCGCAGTGGAAGAAGCGTTTGGTCGTCACGGGGAAAGAAACGTACAACTTGCTTAGCACCGACAACCGCCGAGTGACGCAGCTGTTCGTCCACGAATTGTGGCTGGATCACAAGGACCGACTGGTTCGCTGGCATTTAAACGGAGACGCAGTCGCTCTCTCAGTCGCATTCGACGATGCTCCACGTGGAGAGAATATCCGACTTGTGTTACCTGGTGAAGCGTCTGCTATCTCGCACTCGATCCCCCCAGGAACGTTCTACGTGCAGATTTTACGAGCTCAGCAACTGCATTTGTGTGAGCCTGGCACCGAGCATGCAGCTAAGGGGAATAATACTCAACACTCGACAGCGTCTGGGTCTGCTAAGAAAGGGTTTCCAGTGTACGCGCGTTGTATTCTCGAGGAAGGAACCCACATGGAGCAGACTTTACGCGGATTGGACCTGAAAGAAGGTGAAAACACGTCTGACGAGCTGTCGACTGCGACCCAAAAAGGCTCCCACAAAGAGCATCGTCGGCCTTCGAAAGGAACGCGGTTCTTCCGAGGACTTCGACGTGCTGCGGGGATTTCCGGAGAGCGCGCTGTTGCAACATTTGGAGATCCAAGCGGATGCGTCACGAATATCTGCAAGTGTATGCCCGTGGTGGCTCCAGACGATCATCATAAAGTCGGTACACTGAATCCAGACTGGTCCAGTAACCTTCGACTCGAATTTCCCGGATGCGCGCGAGGTTTCACGTACTATCTGAAGGTCGAAGTGTTCCAGAGTCGCTTTATGCTTCCAGACGATCTATTGGGAGTGTGCAAGATCAACGTCACGCCTCATTTGTCGCTTGTGAATGGCTCTGCTGACGCCAAGGCGAACGGCGCTCTGCCTCGTTGGCACAATCTGTGTGACCAGTACAACGATTGCAAGGAGTCGTGGGCCCCTCCGACGGTGTTTCGAGGTCGTATTCAAGTTGGCATCATCTTCGCGCCTACTGTTACTTCAGCAGAGAATTTCCCTCAGTCGCAAGGACTACGACGTATGGCTAGCGACGGGAGGTTAGTGGAATCAAGACGAGCATCTGCGGACGAAACGCTACTTCAGAGCTCATCCTGCTACAATCTCCGTGAATTCCTGCGATCCGATAAAAAGGCTTCGGTTGGAGAGTTCAATTTCCCGTCGGACAAAGGAGGACGCTTCGTGTCGCGTCAGGTTCGAAGCAGAACGGATTCGTCCAATCGACGAGCGATGAGCACACCAAATATACCACCGAGCAGTGAAGAAAGTCGGGAACTTGCACGATTATCTCGTGATAACCACTCGTTCTCGGGGAAAACAACCAAGTTTGACGTGTCGAAGAAGTACCAGTTGATCAAGGTGGTGGGCGCTGGAACGTATGGCGAAGTGGTGGCTGCAAGTGACGTCGAGTCGGGCACGACTGTAGCGATCAAGAAGGTCACCAACGCGTTCCAAGACTTGCCCGATACGAAGCGGATTCTGCGCGAATTGTGTCTCCTCCGCCAGCTGAGTCACCCGAATTTGATCCAGCTCTACGATGTCCCTCGGCCTGAGCGTCTCTCGTACTTGGAAGATATCTACTTGGTCACAGATCTTATGGAGACGGATCTGCATCGAGTCATTCACTCCACCCAGACACTGACGGACGAACATGTGGCGCACTTTATGCGTCAAATCCTACGAGCACTGGCCTATTTGCACTCGGCGGATGTTCTTCATCGCGATTTGAAACCTTCCAACATTCTGGTTACGAGCACGTGTGAAGTTAAGATCTGTGACCTCGGGCTAGCACGCTATGTGGATTATTCCAAGGCGAAAAGGATGAAAGAAGCGTCGGACGATAAGTTTGTGGAGCTTACGGAGTACGTGGTGACGCGGTGGTATCGAGCGCCCGAGATTCTTCTGGATGGGTGCAGATACGATAAACCCTCCGATATGTGGTCTGCTGGGTGCATTCTGGGCGAACTTCTGGGTCGCAAGCCGCTGTTTCCCGGGTCTAGCACCACCAACCAGCTCAACAAGATCTTCAACGTGCTGGGTACTCCCGACATCGCTTACATCTCCAAGATCCACAAAGAGGCAGCACAGAAGTGGGTCCATCGCCAGCGACGACGCTCGAAGATTCCGTTCGAAGAGCTCTATCCAAACGCGAATCAACAGGCTCTCGATCTGCTGGAGAAGCTTCTTGTGTACGACCCCACGCAGCGTCTAACTGCGGCTCAAGCTCTCCAGCATCCTTACTTACGTGAGGCGTTTAGGTCTGTTATGGGCGACAACACTGTAAATGACGAGATGTTCCTTTACGACGAAGCGGAGCAGAAAGAAGACCAGTTTGTGGGCAAGATTGACGACTCGAATGAGTACGTGGCTGAGACGAAGGAAGCGATGCAGACGGCAGTCTTTGAGCAGGTATGCCACTTTCACCCGGAAGCACGAGAGTACGAGGATTGGCTGAAAAGGCACGACGAGAAGTTCTGTGTGGACCCACAAACAGGCAAGTTAGTGCCTCTCAAGCATGGATAACAAGCCACCATACTCCAGCAAAACTCTACAAGGAAGCTGTTGTTTTCCACGTGAGGTGTCTAAGAAGCAGAAGGTAAAGTAATGAAACGAGTATTTTCTAAACGTGCTCGACCTCCGATTCCAAGGTCGTCGCACGGAGTAGGCGGATGGCATCATACTGGGGGTTCCGCTTAGTAGACGGTTGGGCAAATCTGTCGTAGACAGGAGGTCCTTCAAAGTGGCCTTTAGCGTTCGCGATCGAGAAGCGGATGTCCCTCACTGCCAACTTTTCTTACGTGTCCGACAGGACTTGGATCTTAGTGGCGTCCATGTCGCTCATGTGGTAAGCATCCAGTACGACGCCTCGAGTTGTAACGTTCTGTTTGGCCAGGTGAGCCATCTCCCGTTCGACACGTTCACAGTTGGCTAAGTACAGCGAGCTCTCGACAAGCACCACGACGATACCGTTCATTTCCTGTGCATCTGGAAACACATCACGGTCAACAAGACCGCCGTTCTCCAGTTCTCCTAAAATCACTACTGGCGTGTTGATCATGAGTGCCAGTACAGAGCAGACGATCGACGCGATGAGCCACCCAATCCAAGTGTGAGGACGAACGACGCAGTCCAGACGAAGAACTCGTCGCATTTGACATGATAGAGCCACTTAGCTTCTTTAAATTCGACCAGCGTGTAGCTTGGACGACGATGATGGATGCGAGTGTGGCCCGAGGCAAGTAGTAGAGCGAGACAATGACGATGAGTGTGGTGATGAGAGAGGCACGTTGTGTGTGTGCGTTCTGCAGGCATCCCTCCAGTAGGAGGCATATCCTGGAAGAACCCGCAAACGAGGCTGGCGACACCGATACCTGTGAGTTCCTGTTCAGTTTTGACATCTTCTCCACGCTGGATGGCAAGACGCTTGGCCATGGCGATACTGGAGAGGAAGACGACGAGCGATACAGTGAGGGAATTGAGGACGATGGTTCCGAATCACCCGCTGTCGATGAGGTCGTCATTGAAGCCGTACCAACGCACAACAGGCGCTGGGAATCCACCAGGTACAGTGCCAGTGAGTTTAAGAGCCTTGGGGCCGAGGATGTAGCCGACGATGCCTCCAAAGATACACACGACGAGAGGTCCGAAGCCGCATAGTGTACGAGCGAGGAAGTTGGCGATCAGTACGGCTTTAGATCGAGGAGGTTCTGCGGCGCTGGCTGCTGCTTTTCTCTCTTCATGTTGAGGAATTTCTCAGCGGTCAGTGTAAACCCGTGTCTCTTGGCTCTGTCGTAGCGCGTTAACGGAGCCAGTTTCAGGTGCTAGGACGTCACTTGTGGCAGCGTCTGTGGCTGATGGGTCATCGAACAGGTGAGAGAGTACAGGAGACGGGAAGAAGGTAGACGATCGAAGCCAAGCCAACTGCTAGTGCATTCTTGTTGGCATGGCCAATGTTTTTCAAGGTTCTGGTAGAGCGTCTGTACGGGGTAGTCCTGCGAGTCGAACTTGACGCCGAGAACGTTCTGGAACTGCGAGAGCATGATGAGAAGCCCTCCAGCTGAGATGAATCCGCCCATGACAGGACGGGAGAAGAGATATGAGAAGTGGCAGCAGTGTAAGTCCGTGGTGGGCAGGAACGTGCATGGTGGTGGAGAGCGAGACTTCTTGCGGGATGCAACAGTGATACCGGCCACAACGTCGAATTTGAGGTCTTGGCTGATTTCGTATTTGGACAGCCATTTGAGGATGGGAACATAGTGCTGGGCGAGCTCGATAGGAGATTTCTTAGGCGCTTGAAAACGGGCGTTGTACGGTGAACCGGTAATGGAATGGAACCAGACCGTTGATGCTTTCTTTAGCGAAGCTTGAGTCGTGGACTGCAGAAAGCGAAATGAGGTTGAGTTGATCCCGTCCCACGTTTTCTGAGTCGCTAACATCGAGATTGGCAACCATCCAACGAGCGATCTTTTGTTCAAAATTCGTTTTACAGAATATCGTGCGAAACGAACTTCGGGTGGACACCATCCAGTCGATAAGTCGTATTTGGACTACGCAGCTCACGGTGACTCTGTTGAACCTGTTGGAGTGTATCATTGGATTGCTCTGGCCAATCCTGCTGTGTACGACCAGCTCGTCGAGCATTCGATTTCGTGCAACCAAGTTGGTTTCGACAAGTTGTCAATGAAAACTACAGAGCTGTCGACGTCAGGTGTATTCGAAGATTTACACCTCGACGTCCAGAAATGCAAACGCCTGAAATATACACACCCACTTATGAGTCACTCTTTCGAATTAAGGTGCTGCTGTTCATGGAGACCAACCTCGGCGTTGTTGTTCATGCTCCCATGGCCGTTTAAAGCTTCCAATCCGTCTATTGATACAAGTCCTCAGAGAACGTCCGATGCGCACGTCGCACAACAGCAAGCAGGGATTGGCAGAATCTGCAGTGCCCAGACATCAATTACTGCTTCGCGCTGGTTTCGTGCACGGCTCTTAGCGATATCGGCGGTTGCCGATCAAGTGAGAGAACGTTGATGCATACTTAGTGAGTGCTTCGAGGTGCTGACATTCCAGCAGAGAGGGCCTGCGTAGCAGCTCGTGTTTGGTCGTATCGAGAGCGACGTATGTCCTTCGTGTTACGTTGTATACCATCCAGTCCGTGTTTCCACATCTCCTGTCCGACACACCAATTATTGATGCTCTTGTTGGAAAAGTGCTCATGGTTCCATCCGAGATCTTCTTTTCGGTTGAGAAAAACACGGGCTACCTTTCAAGAATTAGGGAGCGGATGGACTTGCTGCAGCTCTCGCTGATATTAATCCGAATCCGAGAGAACTCGCACACGTTATATCGCAGTCAAAATTGGCCCCAGACGGCGTGGATTTTCAGCAGACTTCATCTGAGGAGTCACAAAATGATATACACACTAAAAGTAGCGCACGTACAATGAGAATCGCAGACATTCTCGACTGAGAAAGACGCTGCAAGTGCTGTCTGAGAAAGTCTCTAGCCAAATGGCGTATGACCTGTCAGGGCACTTGGCTGTGAAGAAGGAATTTGCAGCTTTCTCGAGGCTCAGAGAAAAAAATCGTATAACAGATCAGGCGAAAGCTCTTTTCTAAAAAAAAACTTTTTTAATTTAGCACTAGTTAGGCAAAGATCGCTCAGTAAGATACCGAATTTGTGTCTTACAAGCCTTTTGCCGATGGCCATGTCGAGTACTTGGCAGTTGTGCTCGACCAGTAAGAGCGAGAATGCTAGTAGCCAGTTCAACAATGCCAACCGTACGATAAGTGGTCGACGCAAGGTAATGCTAGAAGTCATGGCAAAAAGTTCACGAAAGGCCGTTTCTTGATGTCCTTGCTTAGATTTAAACTTGATGTCTTGCATTTAATTCCTTGCATATCGGACATCACCATGTCTTATCACGTCGAGCGACTTCTTCATTGTCCGAAATAAACAAATGTAACCTACCGCTTCCAATGCAAAGACGACGACTCATGAGCGGGTCGTTTAAACAATGGATGCAACTGCCGCGTTAGTACAGCCACACAAAATTGAAACTTCTTTTCAATTAACTCGTCGAGGTTTCGTTTATTTTACTTGATATTTCGCGCTTGCTTTCGCACGCCAGGTCAAAAAATGCACAAAAAGAGTTTCCGTCTTTTTAGAATTACGATATTCAACCGTCAGCAGGTCGTTTTGAAAATGTGCCATTTCTTAGCAGTAACAATATCAACGACCAAAAAGAACCATCTAGGAGAATTACCAGCGATAGTAGTGCGCATTCGATTGCAGGAAATTTGTCAGTCAGAACAGCCTTGCTCCACTCATGCGGCAATTTAGTTTCGTCCACATAAACTTGTAGAAAATACACTCGTTTGACCCTTTTAGTTTCGTTATGGGTAATTCAAAATAAGAACACAAATGACCAATTCTAGATCGAGTTGAAGTGACCAACCATCACTCTTTCTCGTATACACTCAACTTGTATACACTGTTGCATCCGCATAAGTACGACTCGTGGATCGTTACGTATTGTCCCACTATTCATCGCGACGACTAGGAGGCAAAGGCAACCAACAGATTCGTCGAGATGGCGCAATACGGCAAGGCCACGTACTGGGACGAGCGCTACACCAAGTGCGTGTCTTCCTCTCTTGTCATTTTTGTGGCCACGTGGCTCTCTCGTGGCCACTCATCACCCAGTGCCAAAGATATGGCTCGCTGTTGACACATTTCTTCCACTTTTTGCCGCTTTTTAGGGACTCGGAGCAATTCGACTGGTACCAACGCTACGGCGGTTTGAAAGAACTGCTAAACCAGTATGTGAAGAAGACGGACAGTATCCTCATGGCAGGCGCCGGCAACTCGCGGCTGTCGGAAGAGATGGTCAACGACGGATACCAGAAGATCATGAATGTCGACGTCTCGGAGATTGTGGTCAAGCAGATGACGTCCAAGTACGAGGACCGCGTGGAGCAGTTGCAGTGGCAGAAGATGAACATGTGCTCGCTGGACTTTGCGGACGAAACGTACGACGCGGTGGTGGACAAGGGCACGATGGACTCAATTCTGTGTGGCGAAGGCTCGACGGCCAATGTGGCCAAAATGTGCCAGGAAATCCACCGCGTGCTCAAGCCCAACGGCGTCTACTTCATCGTGTCGTATGGTGTGCCGGATAATCGACTGAGCTACCTCGAGAACAAGGAGTTGCAGTGGAAAGTGGCGGTGCACACGGTGCCCAAGCCCACGGTCAGCGCCGTGCAGGTGTCAGAGGCCGATGCCAACGCGGTGCACTACATTTACGTGTGCCAGAAGGGCGTTAAGGCCGAGTAGGCAACAGAGGTGCACAGGCGATAAGAATTTGCCATAATATATGGAACTCTTGAGAGCTCTTTTATGAAAAAGTTGCAGTTGGCTAGCAAAAAATAGTGGCTACGGGCTGAGCCCGAACCAGGGTCGTGGTGCTCCTGAAATTGACGTGCTGGAGGGTAGTGCGTCTCTTGTGTCTTCGTCGCTGCAGATTGGTCCAGGCATGCCAGATGAATATCGTGTCATGGGAATCAACTACGCGCAAGACCCGCCTTCCTGTATCTACGGTGGTACCTGTACGACGCCCGGTGCGAACTACATCGGTGTGCCAACCGCTGTGTACAACAAGCGTGGTCACAAATCCTGGTACCAGGGGTTGCGATACGCTGCTAACAACTACTGCAAGCAAGACCCTAAAGCGAAGCAGGACTATAAGACCGTCGCTGCATCGATGAAGGCCGGGATTACCAAAAACACGTGCTCAGTGGACAGTTGTCGTATAGTGACTTGAGTCTCATCGACGACGAGGGAGAGGACCACTGGGGCATCAACAGCAACGGCACGTGTTATCCGCTGTGGAACGTGTACACAGGTGCCTACTTGTGTGACCCTGACAACACGTACTGGAAATGTGCGCAACCTCGAAACGCAACCACGACACCCACGTCGAACGCCATGAGCTCGTTTAACTACCAAATGGACGCTATCTCGGCCAATTGGCCTGTACAGGTTGGTGCGTACACCGACTTCGTCGTGTATCAAATTGGATAAGATACATCGACTTGCTTGCTACTCTGCGTATGTCAGTCCTAGTGAGTGACCAAAAATTTGAAACATCCGTCGCAGTTTGTCTGGTGAATGAATCCCATCCAATTCTATTCTATTCACCATGGACTATTGCGAAAGGCTGCATTCTAAGTTTTGACAGTCTACATGTAGTCAGCCGTGCCTCTGAAAAATACAATAAATTTCTCAACGGCAGCCTTAAAAAAACTTCATCCGGGCGATAATGCACTGCCGATTGCTGTGGGCACTGTTTATTACAAAGGGGGGTAGCTGGCCTACGTAGAAAATTATGACCACATCTTCTGAAGGATAAGAAGAAGGTTCAAACTCTATTTTAGTGTAAGACCAGCAATATTCACCACCCGACTCTACAGAAATTAAACCCAGGCCACCAGATTGAAGATGTTTGATCTCCATTGTTGGCAGCAACTTTTCCTCGGTCGTATGAATGAAAAAACTGTTTTGAATAAAGTATTGTGTCGTCGATTTCTTATGAAGGCTCGAAAAAAAAGTATTTAAAATAGCCAAAGAATCGAAAAATCGGATTATTAGAATCCCACGCTTTCCGTAAAATATGCTATTGCTCCAATAATAAACATACTCGACTATTACGAGAGAGTTGGCCTGCTAGTGATGTCGGCAAAAGTTAGACTACAACACTTTGCTAAGAAAACGCTAATAATTAATCCCTCTTTCAGTATAATACCGTATTTTGCATGTAGAGAGCTGCACCATGCACCTATATATTGACTAATCATATTCGTATATCTTGAATTGAGGAAATCGCATGTAGAGAGATGCACCATTCCGAAGCCAACCAAGTCTAGCGGCAAAATTTGCGCCGGCAGTCGGTCATTTGCCATGACACGCACGAAGCCTCGCCCAGTGGGTAGACCACGTGTCGGTGGTAAGGGACGTCACCAGATCAAACACACGGTCAAGAGCATCACGGTGCAGAAGAAGCTAGAAATTCTGTCGTTTTGGGAAAATGCTTCTCTTCCTAAATTGCGTCATACAATTGATCAGTTTTGGCACGATCTAAATCCTGATTTTTCAGCACAAAGCGCACTTTGATTCAGCGCTGGCGACGAGAGAGAACAACGCTAAGGTCAGCATTGAAGAAGAATAAAGGTGGCTATCAAAAGGTAAGGAGCTTAGGCGTAGGAACGATTCTGAGTAAGGAGATAGAATTAGAGATTGAGGAGTGGGTGAACTGCTTAAGGGAAGAGGGTGTACCAGTATCGCCTCGAATGCTAGCGATTCAAGCGCGTCAGGCTACCATGGAAGCTGGCATCAACGGGTTTAGAGCTTCAGATAAGTGGATTAAGGGCTTTAGACTTCGACACCGCCTGAGTATGCGTGTATCTACTCGTCAAGGGCAAGTCAGGCCCTCGGATGGTGACAAGGTAAAAGTAGCGTTTGCTATTGAGGTCGAGAAGAAGGCTCGTCAGTTGGGTGTCAAGCGCATTTTTTAAGCAGACCAAACAGGTTCGTTTTTATTTTTATTTGGTTTTATTAAAACGTTTTAATATAGCTTTTTATTTAGCTGCTTTCTTTGAATATTTGAGAACGATCAGTAAACGCGGAGCCAGTACCGTTTGGGTGAAGTGTGCTGAAGCCTCTAAAGAACGAGCTACAGTAATGCTGCTGGTAGACTCTGACGGGACTAAATACACCCCGATCGTCATCTTCAAGATGAATACATCCAAGATTAAGAAGACTCATGACGAAAATATCGAAAAACGCTTCGGAGTTGGTGCTAGAACGTGGCCGGAGATCAAACGTCTTCACAAAGAGACAACATTGCAAATATACACGAATGCAAAAGTTATGTGTTTTAAAAACGTTTTTATTAATAGTTGTATTGATTCTAATTATTTTTTATTTAGGCTGGTGGTATAGTTATCGATCACTGAAGTTTCTGAAGTTCGACTTTGGCTGCCGATCGTTCTAAGAGAGGCCGGTGCTTCTCCTCTGGGACGATTTTATCAGTCATTGGACTGCAGAGGTTCTTGTCTATGCTGCTTCAATCAACGTCGTGCTGATGAAGGTGCCACCAAATGCTACGTCTGTCTGTCAACCGGTAAACGTAGCATGGAACCATCCTTTCAAAAGCGGACTCCGTAGGTGCTGGCTCGAGAATTGGCAAGAACAACTGCAAAAGCCAAGAGAAGAGGGATCAAAGTTCAAGCTAGCGCCGCCTGGACGCGCGGGGATGTGCCGATGGGTGTGCAGCAGTTGGGAAGCTCTGAGCGCTGAAACCATCCAAAATGGGTACAAGAGTGCGACTTGCGTCTCGACACCGACTGCCTTGCGGCTGCGTCTTTGGTGGAGGAGTTGCAGTTACTATCGTTAGTAGGGTCAAGTATTGACGAAGTTCAAGATTTTGATAGATGGCTCACCGCAGAGGAGGATGGCAACGGGAGTGTTGATATAGCCGTCGTGTAAATACACCTTTGCTAAAGGAAAAACGGTTCCTGTATAATTTGATTGTGTCTTTTGAATATGTATTTATCCAGGTTTGATTTGCTTTGTGAACCTTGGGTGCATCTCTCTACATGCGAAATACGGTATATGGAAAGAGGGATTAATTATTGTCGTTTTCTTTAATTTTCACGAGTAAATGCTTACTGCATCTTAGGGCTTAGCACTCTATATAAACAATGCATGCATATACAGACAACGACGGAGAAATCCGACACCACTGAATATCATCCAGCCATAGTAAAGAGAAAAAAAAACACAGATCCCGACACAAAAATCCGACGCTTCATTTGATAGACTAATAACGCACTCCGAGAAACAAAAACAGCACAGTAAAAACATGTGAATGAAAAAAAGGGGATTAAATTCAGACGGTTACTTCCGGATACCTCGGGATAGCCTTTTCGAAGCTACGAATTATCGTTTTCTTTTCTAGCTTTTCCCAAGCAGTAGTAGTAGACATTATAGTACGGATGCGCTTTTCCTTAGCGATTCCACCAGTGCGTCTACCACAACGGTTCCGTATTTTTAATGTAAGAAAGCTAGCTCAACACCACAATAGCACAAATAGTACATTCACATTGACTTACTTGCTCAAGTCTGCGCATATCCTTCATATATGTTAAAGGTCAGAGACGCTAGGAAAATTTCCTTGCGTCCCTGACCTTTTAACGTCTTTGACGAGTGGTGTCCCTTGCAATATTAAATTTTTCGGAGGCAGCCTTAACGCCCCCACATTTAGCGATCGTCAAGGCCTCGCGCTTTTGCTTCATTGTGAAGCTTCGCTCAGCGCGCTTCATCACGCAAAATGACTTAATAATTACCGACGCCCAAGAAGTGTTTTATCTCCAGCCATTCATCTTTTTTTTGTAAGTATTTGGATTAAAAATCTCTTGTTTAAAAATATGATTGGGTAAAAATACAAAATTAGTTACTATGGGAAAGAGGTGTGCTCACAATCACAAGTCGGATTTTTGTGTCTGTCGGAATTCTCCGTCGTTGTCTGTATCTCATTTTATACTCTAAAGTATACTTATACTGACTAAGAGTGAGCTGGTACGGGTGATCCTTAATCAGCTACAAAATCAATCTACATACCTAGCTAGCGCTATTACCCGTACCGTAGTTATCACGTACTGTTTGTTATGACATTCAGGAGGGTTTCAGGCCGAACAGGAAAGACCTCCGTGCATCCTTAATTATCGCATTCAGTCGTACAAACTGTCTTTCTGCCTGTGCATTTTACCATCGTATGGCTCTTACGCAACGGCGCCGCCCAAAAGGGCGACCACGACAGCCGCCGTACACTTAATCATTGTTGGCGCCGGACACGGCCCAAATATGAAACGTTATGCGGCGAATGTGGCGGTGCCAACAAGAAAAATCACAAGCGAAAGGTGAGGGCACGGTGCTGACAAAAGATTAGGAGCTTTGTTTGGAGCGCTGGATAAATGATTTGAGGGAGGAAGGGGTGCGTGTTACTGCAACTATGTTACGCATTCAAGCCCTAGAAATAGCAGAGAAAGCTATGATCACCCCTTTTAATGCGTCGTGGTGCTGACAAAATCTTTTTAAAGAGCGTGATCGACTTTCGCTTTTGCGTTGCAAAACGCGACAAGGGCAGATTCAGCCGCCGGAACTTGCCCAACTTTCGGCAACTTTTGCTGCGGAAGTCAAGCAAAAGGCTCGGGAGCTGGGGGTGTCTCGTATATAAAATGCAAATCAAACAGGTTTGACAATTTCTTAGATTAACATTTTTAATAGACAGTACATACAATTACTGGTCTATGTGCGAACACTTTTCTGAATGTCATAACTAAGGGAATTCGGTACATATAAATACTGTGAGCAAAATAACTGACCGTCCTGTTAGCAACCACTAGTGGCCCACCCGATGCGTAAACACGAACCTTCTCGCTTGTGTGGTGACCAGAACGCTACAACTACACACATACACAGTATCACAACAAAACGTAAATGCACACCGGCAGTTTCGAAAAATGTCGCAGTACGTCAACTAGGAGGAACGTCTCTATCCTCCGAGAGCTCTTGAGCACTTCTTGGGTTTGCGTACGGCTGACTGGCGTTGTGGAGGCGAACGGAGAATGCGAAATGGCAGGCACTGGTAGTTAAGAAACTTAAGACGGAGATGGCGGATTCGGAAGTGAGCACTGCTTCGGTGCTTTCATCTCCCAACTTGAATCCTTGTATTTTAGTGAGTCAGAGTCTAACTACCGTCCACCCGATCTTTGCTGCATCCAACTTCGACAAGACAGTCAAATATCAGCGGTCGTGGACGCTCTCCCAGTATGTCACTCGACTCTTTCAGATATACAAGATATACAAACATACAACTTTGTGGAGCGCCCCTCCACAAAGCACATGCATCAGGCACCCACAGATACAGAC